CGGGTCATACAACGTATGACAAGGGCTTGCTAGAGGTGATCGATTTTCAATAGCACGTTTGTCCTCGCGTGTCACATCAAGTCCACCTTTTGCACGCTGCATTTAGCCTAGTAGTCATGACAACGACATTACTTTGCAAAGTTTAAAAGCTGCGATCTTTTATTTAGCCCAAAATCAAACTTTTCGGTTTAATTCAAAATCTACGTTGTCCCAAATTTTGCTCCTGGGGAGTCGAGCTTACTTTAAATTTACGAAACGGAAATTTTGTTGAAAACCGGAAGGTTCTATTTATTTTACTTTTGGAAATATACCCCAGCCGGTAGGGTTTGCTGGGCCTAACCTACGCGCGTTTAAAAGAATGTGCACTTTCATTTTAAAACGTTCACTTTGACAAACCATAACTCTCCACCAATCAAATCAAATTTCAATTTTAAATATCAAAATAAATAAGTAAAGAATTTCGCCAACACGAGAGGGAACGCTTGGATAGTGTAGTAAAAACGCCATCTTCACCCTCAAAATCGACTTTTAAAACTTCATACATTTTCCACCGAAATTATAAGTCTTATATCGCAAAACACCCCCTACCTCCCTGCACCTCCCCCTTTTTCCCCCTTCCTTCTGCTTTCTTTTGCAGCTGAACTATGAACTCTCAGCTCTCTCGCACACCCAGAACACAGAAAACCTTACCGCCGGCAGGGCTCGCTAGAGGTGATTGATTTTCAACAGCACTTTTGTCCTCGCGCGTCACATCAAGTCCACTTTTCGCACGCTGCATTTAGCGTAGTAGTCATGACAACGACATTACTTTGCAAAGTTTAAAAGCTGCGATCTTTTATTTAGCCCAAAATCAAACTTTTCGGTTTAATTCAGAATATACGTTAGAGCTAATTTTAAATTTGCGAGACGGAAATTTTGTTGAAAACCGGAAGGTTCTATTTTTTTACTTTTGGAGATTATATACCCCAGCTGGTAGGGTTTGCTGGGTAGGGTTTATGTAAAACCGTTTTGTACGGCTGCAAAACCATAAAAACCAAAGTCACGTGAATTTTTTGGGCGAGCGAATTAGTAAAAGGCTAAAGATTGGGAAAAACATTTGACGGATGTTACTCGTCTAAATTTTTTCGAAGTAGCGCGCGCCGCTTTCTTCTCGAAATGTTAGCCCGAAATGTTGGCCCGATGGCACGTGCTACGAAGTAGTGCGCGCCGGGCCAGACCATTAACAATGGTCAAAAGAAACATTTGAAGATCACCCTTGGCCTCGTGGGTCCAAATTCAAATCTAGACTATCCATATATAGAAACAATAAGTTCATTCACCTAGCCATGAGTCTACGCGTACTGCGTGACGCGCTTCTTTCACGCTACTGTAAGCAAAAAGGCTTTGGATAGAGCAAATAAGTTTAATATTTACATAAAAATTCACGTGCTGCTAAAAAAAGAAAAAAATAACAATTATTAAGATTCTTAAAATGAATAGTTTTTAATTTACTTATTTAATCCATGTGAATAAGTTATTTGTACGACAATTTGAGTTAAACTTTTTTGTTTAACTCAAATTATTGAGTTAAACAAAATTTAACTGAATTAGTGTTTCATTTACTGTACTGGATGTACTGTGTAAAGTTTGACTTTCTTCCACTTCTGCAATTTTTGACAAAATCAAACTTCATGGTTATTTTTAACTAAATTTTGTTGGAAATATATTTGTTGCTACACGCTGTATAGCATGTGGGTCAAGCGTGGTGCCGCGCCTAAGCAGCAAAAAAGTTATTTATTTTAAATTTATTTTTGTATCTCAAAAATGATTTAAAGTTTTTAATATGACGTAGAATTAAATCTATTTCCGTACAGCCTAAGTATGCTCGTTAGAAAAACTATGAACATGCTAGCTTTCTTTATTTTTGTTAGTCGGCTGACATCTTGGGTTGTACTGGATGTAACAAATTTAATATCGGATGTCTACTTATATTTATTATGATATAATTATTCATTGTAATGGCAATAAAATTTCAATTTAGTTTTACTTAAATTTAGTTTTACTTAATTAATCATAGTAATACAAAATTGTTAATAATTAAGAATTTTCTCAAAATATCCACCGGCCTTCTTGGCAAGTACTTGAGGAATGTTACTCGTCTAAATTTCTTCAAAGTAGCAAGTGCTAAGAAGTAGCATGCGCCGACTAGGCCATTATCAATGGACAAGGCAAGTATGTATTTCAGTCGACTATTTAAATTGTTTATTGGATTATGATTAATCACTCTGTCACATGACTTTTTTAACCCGTTCTCTAGCTGGTCCTGAACTACTATTCGAAACCCTAACCCTTTAATCTGATCCCAACCCTAACCCTAACCCAATCCTTAACAAAAGCATATGCTGAAACCCTAACCCTAACCCTAACGAGAAATTAGACCAACTTCCTTATATAGTAACTTACCTTTCCTCTCGAAACTTATTGAAAAGAGTGTCCAGAAACAGATGACTAAACATCTTGACCACCACAATCTCCATGCTGAACATCAAAGTGGTTATAGGTCAAACCATAGCTGCGAAACTGCAACCCTCATGTCATTAATACAATGATAGAAGTACAGATTATGCACATTCATGATTTCATGAGTGTTGAAGAGGGGTTTAGTATGCTCCTTTCTGTAGAATTCGTCGCCCAGGATTTGCTCCCCGTAGGATCTGCATCACGCACTAGTTTTAAATTTATCCAAGTATGCTTCTTTATCACCAAACATTATGCGGGCACACATTTTCTGTGCTTTGAACAGAGGTTCGAGTTTTTTATAAGATGCTCCTCCCCAGACAGTTATACCATAAGCAAGATAGCTTTCAAACAGAGTGTGATACAGATCTTTATGGAGTGATGTGGAATGTTATCTTTTAAAGCAGCTGGCTTTAAATAAAACAAAATTTTATTTTATACCCACAATCTCATGTTGTCTAGACAACGGGTATCTAGCCACAGTCAGCCAGTCAGCAAATTACCCCGGCATTAAGGGGGCATACACCAAAACAGTGGTTTGTGCCGTCCAGACCAAATGACCTCATAGGCAGTTCAGTGACCTTCTAGCGCACCGTTTCCACACCAAAAAACATTATTTTGAGAATACCCATTTTTGTAATCGACCATTTCCTGGTTAAGAGTGCAATTTTCGGAAAAAATTATTTTGTGGTTGAGACGCTATAAGTTAATCATTTCTTGCGGTATCGGGTTGAAATTTTGCTCGCCGTTTATTCACATCTATTTCAAGGTGTGTGTAAAATCTTGATATCGTATCTAAAAAGGCTGGTGTGTTATGAATTTTTAAAGTCAAAAAGCTAAAATTGTCCTTTTCAGGCTTATTTTAACAAAAAGTCAGTCAGGGAAGATCGGATTATTTGATGCTTGACATCAAATTGTTCTCTGAATTCTGGCGCAGTTTTTGATGCCCTCAAAAATGTTTTTACTCATTCACCTTCTGATCTATTGGACCTCAAAGCCAAACAACAAATTTAGGCACATTTTTCGTTTTTAATATTTACTGATTTTTCCAAAATTTTGATAGGAATGTGCTAGTGACTTTTTGAAGAGTGCAAAATAACCGCAACTAGCACATTTATATATGAGTTATGAACAACAAAACACCCTAAAATGCTTCCCTTTGAAGTTATGGGAGAAAATGTGATTTTTTGGCTTTGCAGATAAAAAATCACATTTTCTCCCATAACTTCAAAGGGAAGCATTTTAGGGTGTTTTTTTGTTCATAACTCATATATAAATGTGCTAGTTGCGGTTATTTTGCACTCTTAAAAAAGTCACTAGCACATTCCTATCAAAATTTTGGAAAAATCAGTAAATATTAAAAACGAAAAATGTGCCTAAATTTGTTGTTTGGCTTTGAGGTCCAATAGATCAGAAGGTGAATGAGTAAAAACATTTTTGAGGGCATCAAAAACTGCGCCAGAATTCAGAGAACAATTTGATGTCAAGCATCAAATAATCCGATCTTCCCTGACTGACTTTTTGTTAAAATAAGCCTGAAAAGGACAATTTTAGCTTTTTGACTTTAAAAATTCATAACACACCAGCCTTTTTAGATACGATATCAAGATTTTACACACACCTTGAAATAGATGTGAATAAACGGCGAGCAAAATTTCAACCCGATACCGCAAGAAATGATTAACTTATAGCGTCTCAACCACAAAATAATTTTTTCCGAAAATTGCACTCTTAACCAGGAAATGGTCGATTACAAAAATGGGTATTCTCAAAATAATGTTTTTTGGTGTGGAAACGGTGCGCTAGAAGGTCACTGAACTGCCTATGAGGTCATTTGGTCTGGACAGATTTGGTGTATGCCCCCTTAAGTTCCTCCTGTACAGTCTATTGTGAGTCTCTCAGTTTTTGACAAAAAGTTGGCTTAAAAAGTGCCATTCTGCACAAAAACGTTGCATCTGACCTTACTTTTCTGTACTGTCTAACTTAGACAGTACAGAAAATATTGTAGCTACATTTTACCATAAGCAAGATAGCTTTCAAACAGAGTGTGATACAGATCTTTATGGAGTGATGTGGAATGTTATCTTTTAAAGCAGCTGGCTTTAAATAAAACAAAATTTTTATATGAATTAATGTTTTCTTCGAACAAGTAATATTATAATAAAAAGGATTATCTAAATCATGCACTCGTTAACTGAGTAATAAGTAATATGATTGGGCCCATGCTTGTACAGGGGTTGCACTCGATATTGTCTGTGTTTTAGTGACCCTTTTGATTGATTGCAATGATTTCGTTTCTGAGGGGTTTTCTCATAATTGAGTACACTGTCACTGGTTTCTAACAAGCATTTTATGAGCATTTTTAAACTCGAGTATGTAATTGATTAATTTGAAAAATTTTAATTAAAAATGTCTATCTTTGATAGCAGAGTGTATAATGTTTTTAATACTGCCGAGAATATTGTCTTAAATATTATTTTGGTACTGTAATACAATAATTTATGAATTTTAGATATTATGTTAAATTAGTGTTCCTGTTATGTTGACTGGATATGGATGATGATACTAGAGATCTTATCACTGCAGTGAGTACACGATTCACATAAAAGTATTATAATGTGTATTGCATTATGCAATTAATGTTATAATTTAAGGTACTAATTGATGATTACGGTATTAAATTTATAGTATGTTGGAATTTATGTATTAATGCTTTTCATTGAAATTGAGGAATTTACTATAACGCTTGATTCCCAGGTCGGTAGAGGTAAGCTGTCAGACCCTCTCAAATATGAAGAGTGGATCGATGATAAAACTAGGATTCTTAAAGAATGTGATCCACATATTGATCTGATGTTGTTTCCGGATGACGATATCGAGGTATTTCCTATTATTTTCTATTTGAACAATGAACACCATTTTAATAAGATCATCTCCATACAAAACAAAATATGCAATCCATAGAGGGAGTGACGTGTTAAGGGGGGGGGGGGGGGGGGGTCTTCATCAAAATTCTCTTGAAATCGACTTTATAGTTGTTTCTGATAGAGGGGAGTGATATCTATCAGCTGCTTTTGGTCCCATGGAAAAATATTGTTCCTAGCTGAAATTATCGGCGGTCTAAGGTCAGCGCTTATGCGTAATTGTATTGCGCAAGCGATTTTCAATCGCAAATTCTGAAAATCGAGTCTAAAAATCTATCTTCTCCCACAATTTTTGAGCAATCACCCTGAAACTTTCAGGATATGTTCTAGGGACCATTTAGAAGAGATCGATCATACAAAATTTTGAGATAGGCCTTTAAACATTTTTTATTCAATTTTGAAAATCTTGGACCTCGTTTTTTTACGATTTTTTGAGGTCCAAGATTTTCAAAATTGAATAAAAAATTTTTAAAGGCCTATCTCAAAATTTTGTATGATCAATCTCTTTTTGTGGGAGAAGATAGATTTATAGACTCGATTTTCAGAATTTGCGATTGAAAATCGCTTGCGCAATACAATTACACATAAGCGCTGACCTTAGACCGGCGATAATTTCGGCTAGGAACAATATTTTTCCATGGGACCAAAAGCAGCTGATAGATATCACTCCCCTGGCCTCTATCAGAAACAACTATAAAGTCGATTTCGAGAGAATTTTGATGAAGACCCCCCGGCCCCCTTAATCTAACACTACTACTGCAGGTTACAACGTATTCGAAAGAGTTCAGGACAGGAGATGATATGGTACCCGCACAAGCTCTAGAGTATAACCAAGAGAATCCCCATGTACAAGACAATGTCAAAATGACAATACAAGATTGGAATGTTGTCAATAGAAGGTATTGCTAAATTTCACCATAAATCATGTAAGTTTGGACATAGGAAGGACCCCTCCCTTTGTTTCAGTGGCTTCATTTCAGTGGACTAGGTATCTGGTATACAGTTGTTTTGTTTAGGACCAGGTATCTGGTATACAGTTGTTTAGGACCAGGTATCTGGTATACAGTTGTTTAGGACCAGGTATCTGGTATACAGTTGTTTAGGACCAGGTATCTGGTATACAGTTGTTTAGGACCAGGTATCTGGTATACAGTTGTTTAGGACCAGGTATCTGGTATACAGTTGTTTAGGACCAGGTATCTGGTATACAGTTGTTTAGGACCAGGTATCTGGTATACAGTTGTTTAGGACCAGGTATCTGGTATACAGTTGTTTAGGACCAGGTATCTGGTATACAGTTGTTTAGGACCAGGTATCTGGTATACAGTTGTTTAGGACCAGGTATCTGGTATACAGTCTAGTTGTTTAGGACCAGGTATCTGGTATACAGTTGTCTAGGACCAGGTATCTGGTATACAGTCTAGTTGTTTAGGACCAGGTATCTGGTATACAGTTGTTTAGGACCAGGTATCTGGTATACAGTTGTTTAGGACCAGGTATCTGGTATACAGTTGTTTAGGACCAGGTACCTTACAAGACTTTTTTGTGGCGGACCAATTTGCGACGACCGAAATTTTGGCGGTCCGAAAATATGGCGAAATTGAACAAAAACCGTCACATTTCGGACGTCACAGAAAATAAGGGTATTTTTCATCATTTTGAAAGGAAATTCAAAATTTTCTAAAAATCGGTAAAATCATGTTGAAACAAAATGAAACTTATAAATCGATTTCTTCATCTTCCTCTAAGGGGTCCGGCTCGACTCTTTCAGTTTCACGCTGTTCTCCAGTGTACTCCCAGGAGTAAGATTCTCGGATAAGCTGCTTCATCTTGTACACGATGTCTCTGAGGCCTTTGAAAGTAAGTTTCAACTTGACTTCCAATCCACCGGAGGGTATAGGGGAACGACGGTGTCTGCTATCCTCAACAACTCCATTAATTTCCCCACCGTGGCACATGAAATAGTGACAATGTTTACTAACTTCTAACGGAATATGTCAGACGGTTACTCACTGTGGAACAAGCAAACCTCTTCCGTCCTTTATCCGCTTCACGGCACACGCATACCGATCATGTTGAAGAGACACATCGTTAGTTTCCCGATGGATAGTAACCTTCTCACCATCGTAGATATCAGTCCATGTGGTTACTTTTCCGGAACAAGATCCTTTTTAAATTGACTTGAGTAATAAGATGATTACTGATTAGTGCTGATTTTAGTATTTCAATCTAAAATCTAAATTTTACTCTACTGATCAATGACAGTATATCTGCATCACATGACTTATTGAGTTTGGTATTAAATTGTTTATCTTGACTTAGTCTCTTATAAGACGTTTATGTTAGCACATAAATGTAATTTATTGTAAATTTAAAACGTATTACTTGACATTATTTGTCCCACCATCATATCACTAACTTTTCAAGAACAAAATGAATCGATGAAGCCACAATTATTGGAATAAGCTACAAATAATGCGACGGATTCTATTACGACGACCGAAATTTTGGCGGTCCGGAAATATGGCGAAATTTCGGGAAAACCGTCGCATTTCGTACGTTATGAAAAAGTCTTGTAAGGTATCTGGTATACAGTTGTCTAGGACCAGGTATCTGGTATACAGTTGTCTAGGACCAGGTATCTGGTATACAGTTGTTTAGGACCAGGTATCTGGTATACAGTTGTTCAGGACCAGGTATCTGGTATACAGTTGTTTAGGACCAGGTATCTGGTATACAGTTGTTTAGGACCAGGTATCTGGTATACAGTTGTTTAGGACCAGGTATCTGGTATACAGGGGGGGGGGTCCAAGGGGAATTTTGGGGAACTTTGGGAAAGTCCCCCAAGATTTCTGAAGTTCCCCAAAAAAAAGTTCCCCAAAACTCCCCAAAGTTCCCCAAAATTATTCAAAATTTCTCTAATGTACATTAATACCCATTAATGTTAACATGTATGTTATTATAAGGTATTGAATCTTAACTTACTTGTTGATACTTGCAGCATGATAATTTTTTTGGCATGATAATTTTTTTGGGGAACTTTGGGGAACTTTCTGAAGTTCCCCAAACAAAAGTTCCCCAAAATTCCCCAAAATTCCCCAAAATTATTCAAAATTTCTCTAATATACATTAATACCCATTAATGTTAACATGTATGTTATTATAAGGTATTGAATCTTAACTTACTTGTTGATACTTGCAGCATGATCATTTTTTTGGCATGATAATTTTTTTGGGGAACTTTGGGAAAGTCCCCCAGGTTTCCTGAAGTTCCCCAAAATAAAGTTCCCCAAAATTCCCCAAACTTCCCCTTGGACCCCCCCCCCCCTATACACTTGTCTAGGACCAGGTATCTGGTATACAGTTGTTTAGGACCAGGTATCTGGTATACAGTTGTTTAGGACCAGGTATCTGGTATACAGTTGTTTTGTATTTCTATAATATTATAATAATATGTAAATGCACTGTCCTCAGGTACGAGAAAAGTAGTTCAACGTCGACATTGTCCGACGATAAATCAAGAACAGCCGTCGATCACAAATACGAAGTTGATCTTGCCAAGGTAAGATGATATATTTTTGTAAACACGTTATCACCCCTGGATGCGATATAGAGAGGGGGATTGTAACTAGCAACCTAACCTAGCTCTATATCGCTAGGTATAATCCCCCTCCCTATATCGCTAAGTATAATCCCCCTCTCTATATCGCTAGGTATTAATGCTTTTCATGCAAACAAGTGAAAACGAATCTTTTATGTCATGTATCCAGGGTTTGGACTGGAATTGCCCGCTTAAAGAACTTCCATCGCGTTACATTACATAATTTTCTCAATAAATGTAATAGATTTGTAGTGTTGTAATTAGTTTAATTAGGAAAATTGAAATATTATAATCCCTGCGCATTAGTTATGCGTGTTATAATCCCCTTCTTTATATTGCTTTCATTTCAGAGCGTTCTAACGACGGAAGAGCAGGAAGTTATTCAGGAGAATGAGAGTAACCGCTCAAGTTTCGCCTCACTCAGGTGTGTTGTGTTGTGTACCTATAAGAGATACCGGGTGCTGTATCCCATATTTACCTATAAGAGATACCGGGCGCTGTATCCCATATTTACCTATAAGAGATACCGGGCGCTGTATCCCATAATTATTAACCTATAAGAGATACCGGGCGCTGTATCCCATATTTACCTATAAGAGATACCGGGCGCTGTATCCCATAATTATTAACCTATAAGAGATACCGGGCGCTGTATCCCATAATTATTAACCTATAAGAGATACCGGGCGCTGTATCCCATATTTACCTATAAGAGATACCGGGCGCTGTATCCCATATTTACCTATAAGAGATACCGGGCGCTGTATCCCATAATTATTAACCTATAAGAGATACCGGGCGCTGTATCCCATATTTACCTATAAGAGATACCGGGCGCTGTATCCCATAATTATTAACCTATAAGAGATACCGGGCGCTGTATCCCATAATTATTTACCTATAAGAGATACCGGGCGCTGTATCCCATATTTGCCTATAAGAGATACCGCGCCGGGCGCTGTATCCCATAATTACCTATAAGAGATACCGGGCGCTGTATCCCATAATTATTTACCTATAAGAGATACCGGGCGCTGTATCCCATATTTACATATAAGAGATACCGGGCGCTGTATCCCATATTTACCTATAAGAGATACAACTCAGCAGATATTGGTACTTATAGGCGTCTTATAGAGGGTGTCAAGAGTCGGAAACTGCCAGCTGTTCTGACATTTATAGACTTTAAGAAGGCTTTCGACAGTGTACATCGTGGGAAAATGCTCAAGATTCTAGAAGCTTACGGCATTCCAGTCAAAATCGTACAGCTTATAGTTATTCGGCTCATGTACGAGAAGACAATGGCCAAAGTCCTAACTCCAGACGGAGAAACGAAATTGTTCGAGATACTTGCAGGTGTGTTACAGGTTGATACCTTAGCACCTTACCTCTTTGCAATAGTCATCGACTACTGTATGAGGCAAGCCATAGGCGATGATGCGGAGTGACTTGGACTCACTCTCGAATGTAGAAAAAGCAGAAGAGTGGGGCCCAAGATCATCACCGATGTGGACTTTGCAGATGATATCTAGCACTTATATCTGAGGACATGGACAAGGCTAACGAGTTCCTGCTCAGAGTAGAATCGGCGGCAGCAAGCGTGGGACTACACATAAACGAAGGCAAGACCAAGGTCATGACACTGAATATGGAGGATCGATCTAGCGACCTACAAAGTCGATCCGGGGAAGCCATAGAAAATGTGGATGATTTCATCTACTTAGGCTCCTGGATCGAGAGCACAGATAGGGAGATAAGGGTTAGAAAGGGAAAAGCGTGGGGTGCCCTACATAGACTGAAGGATATCTGGAAATCCAAACTCTCAAAGAGCCTCAAGATTAGATTGTTCATAGCGGCTTGTGAATCAGTACTGCTCTACGGATCAGAAACCTTGACACTGACAAAGGCTCAAGAGAAAAGTTTGGACGGGACATACACAAAGATGTTGCGTATGGTGCTGGGTATCTCATGGAAGGACAAGGTCAGCAATATAACTTTGTATGGTAGCCTCCCAAGGCTGTCAAACAAGTTACGAAGCAGGAGATTAAAAATGGCGGGACACTGCATCCGACATCCTGAGCTACTTGCCAGTGATTTAGTCTTATGGGAACCTAGTACCTACGCAGCGCACGGTAGAGCACAGCAAGGCCGAACAAGACAAAGCTACTTGTCTATGTTACTGAAGGAAGTTGGGACAAACTCTAAAGAGGAACTGCGAACCCTGATGCGGGAGAGGGATATATGGAGGGGGTTTTCTGGCGTAGATCGGACTTAGCTCCAACATAGTAGTAGTAGTAGTAGTAGTAATGCAAAGTTTAGCGTGTTATTGCCTTCGGGGGGGGGGGGGGGGGGGGGGGGGGATCAGGTACCAAGTGCCGGACATCACGTCGACTAAGTGTAGTTTTGGATATTTTTCACTAGACCCACCCACCCCCTTAACTTTGCGGTACTAACTGTTTTTTTGGATAATACGTAAGACACCCACCCTTTTTGCCGCGGTACTAACTGTCGAAAAATCGTGGTACTAACTGTTTTTTGGTATATAGAATAAGATACCCACCCATAAATTGCTTTAAACAGCTCATTAAACATTGGAAATGGGAAAAATATACCCACTATTTAGTAGGGGTTTTGTTTTCAATGTAGTCGAATTAGATAAAAAGTTACACAAAACATTTTAAAATTACAAAAAACCCAAAAAAAAAATGTAAAAAAACCTCAAAACCCATTCCCAAAATTGAAATTTGAGGTAAAATGGTTTTTTTGGGGTTGGACACCCAAAAAATGAACCCCTTAGTACCATGTACTAACTGTTTTTCTGGAAAATGGGCAGTAGACTCACCAGTTAGTACCATGTACTAACTGTTTTTCTGGAAAATGGGCAGTAGACCCACCAGTTAGTACCATGTACTAACTGTTTTTCTGGAAAATGGGCAGTAGACCCACCAGTTAGTACCATGTACTAACTGTTTTTCTGGAAAATGGGCAGTAGACCCACCAGTTAGTACCATGTACTAACTGTGTGTTTGGGAGAAAAAATGACCCACCCACCAACGTCATGTCCGGTACATGTGTACTGGGTGTACTGGGTGTATAATGTTGCTGTACATAATGATGCATACAAAGATTCTATGGAGCTAGGGTAGGGTGTAGTTATTATAGGGAGCTAGGGTAGGGTGTAGTTATTATAGGGAGCTAGGGTAGGGTGTAGTTATTATAGGGAGCTAGGGTAGGGTGTATTTATTATAGGGAGCTAGGGTAGGGTGTATTTATTATATGGAGCTAGGGTAGGGTGTATTTATTATAGGGAGCTAGGGTAGGGTGTATTTATTATATGGAGCTAGGGTAGGGTGTATTTATTATAGGGAGCTAGGGTAGGGTGTATTTATTATATGGAGCTAGGGTAGGGTGTATTTATTATAGGGAGCTAGGGTAGGGTGTATTTATTATATGGAGCTAGGGTAGGGTGTAGTTATTATAGGGAGCTAGGGTAGGGTGTATTTATTATAGGGAGCTAGGGTAGGGTGTATTTATTATAGGGAGCTAGGGTAGGGTGTATTTATTATAGGGAGCTAGGGTAGGGTGTATTTATTATATGGAGCTAGGGTAGGGTGTATTTATTATAGGGAGCTAGGGTAGGGTGTAGTTATTATAGGGAGCTAGGGTAGGGTGTAGTTATTATAGGGAGCTAAGGTAGGGTGTAGTTATTATAGGGAGCTAGGGTATGGTGTAGTTATTATAGGGAGCTAGGGACTAGGGTGTAGTTATTATAGGGAGCTAGGGTATGGTGTAGTTATTATAGGGAGCTAGGGACTAGGGTGTAGTTATTATAGGGAGCTAGGGTAGGATGTAGTTATTATAGGGAGCTAGGGTAGGGTGTATTTATTATAGGGAGCTAGGGTAGGGTGTAGTTATTATAGGGAGCTAGGGTAGGGTGTAGTTATTCTATGGAGCTAGGGTAGGGTGTAGTTATTATAGGGAGCTAGGGTAGGGTGTATTTATTATAGGGAGCTAGGGTAGGGTGTATTTATTATATGGAGCTAAGGTAGGGTGTATTTATTATAGGGAGCTAGGGTAGGGTGTAGTTATTATAGGGAGCTAGGGACTAGGGTGTAGTTATTATAGGGAGCTAGGGTAGGGTGTAGTTATAGTTATTATAGGTAAATGACAATTCATATCCTATACTAATCACTACTACTATATACTACTATATAATACTGCTATATACTACTATATACTTAGTTATATATACTACTACTATACTAATCTCTCATTCCAGTGAAGACACGTTTGACATGTCGGAGGGCGATGGCATGATTCTGGGCTATCTGAAGGACTATACCCTCCCAAAGATAAAGTACACAGATTCCAGCAACAAGACTTGCCGAGCTAAAAACAGGCCCTCTACACTCTTCTCTCTCTATCCTAATCCTCAAAGTGTAAGCACTTTACTTATTTTAAAATATGATCAAACTTTGCATGAGTTGTAAACTAATTACTACAATATCAATAGCTATACATCGGACGTGTCAATGGGGGCCCCCATACATATATTACATTTATTGAGTATGTAGCTAGTCCTAGCTACATAACATGAAGATTGAAGGCTTTGTTTCACTTCTAAATAAAAAGCTCCAATAGTGGATTACGAATAAATAACCAGAGATTAAACTAAATTTTACAGTATCATTTGGATGAAAGAATAGAGTCAAGAAAGAGACCCCCTGTTCCCTCAGCTCATGAGAAACCATTCCGGATCATGATAACTTTCACTAAGCTGGAGTAAGTAGGGTGGGGTTATTCTGAATTAAGTATACTCAGGATTATTTAGTCATTATATGGGTAGGGCAGTGGCAAGGGCTCAGTTCTACAGCAGGCCAGGGTGTCAGAATTATTGGAGTGTTGAAAATTGTATGTGTATTTATGATGAAATCAATATTTTTCAACGGGTCATAACTTTACTTCTGAATATCGATATTACAAAATTCAAAAACTGGTCTGTTATCTGTAGAGCTGAAGACAATCGTTTGAACTTTTTTCGTAGGTTCAAAATTTTCTGTTGATGTACCTCACAAGTCACAACCCATAATTTTGGCCTTTTTTTAAAGGATCGATTCCAAACTTGGTTAGATTTATGAAGGAGTAAGGGATTTATGTGTAATTTTTTTCGGCGATTTTATTTCTTTAGACTTAAGTCGAGGAAGATCGCAGGATTCCTAGTCTACGCTACTCTTTTCATCATGGCTACGACACTCAATTTTGGGACATGGAATGTTTGCGGTCTATCGACCACATACAGGCAACACTTCGTTGCAGAGGACATTGACAGATATAACTTAGACATTTTAGCACTTCAGGAGACCAAGACACGTGAATACTTGGAAACAACACTCCCTGGACATCATCGATTGTTTTTGTTTGATCAGAGACACGGTAGACACGGTGGACTTGGGTTTATTGTTAACAAGCGTTTTTTGGAATGTATAGTATCGCATCATCAGATCAGTGACAGAGTTGTTTATATGGACTTTAAATTAAGTGCTAAAAGGGTGGATCAACCACCTTGTCATATCAGAATTGTTAATTGTTACAGCCCTACGAATCCCAAGTCAGTTCAGAATCCCCGATTAGCAACCCAATTTTACGATGAGCTACTCGAGGCTATCAGTGTTCCTGCTAGATTTGAAGTATGGATGTTAGGCGACTTTAACGCCAAACTTGGCAAAAGAAGCCCTGTTGATGTAGAAAATGGTTTACATGTGAATATTGGTAGACATGGTGTTGGGAGGAGAAATGAAAACGGTGAAAGGTTGCTACACTTTCTCACTGCTAATGGCCTGTTTGCTGCCAACACTTCATTCTCCCATAGCAGCAGACACATTACCACTCGGACTGGTTGGATTCGGGATCGAGCAACCAGGAAAAGTAAACCTTATTTCCAACAGATTGACTTCATACTCTGCAGGTCCAGAAGCAAGGCACTGCTAACTGATGCCAGGTCATATGCAGGTACAAAGCACCGCAGTGACCACAAACTTGTTGTTGCCAAGGCAGATTTTTCGCAGCGCTTCAAGTTGTACAAGGAGAGCACAGCATTTCAAAAGACTTATAACACAACAACATTGATTGGAAGCAAACAAGCTCAACAACAATATCAGCAAGAACTTCGTCAGAAACTTGAGCAAACTGTATCAGATCCTGACTTTACCTCCAACAACACGGAACAGCAATTTGATATACTTTTTGGTGAAGTTAAAGAAGCTGCTGTTTCCACTGTGGGTTTTCGCAAGCCACAGCGAAAAAGGAATCATTCCTCTGACAGTCAAGTTGTTAGCATGTCTGAAGAAAGGAAACAACTTTTACAACAACTGAACAACAACGAATACAGAGACAGGACAGCTCTCAGAGCTAAAATCAACAGGCTCTCAAACGACATTACTAAACGGTTGAAAACATTGAGAGTTGAGTTAGCAAACAGCCTAGCTGACTCTATAGCCACCATAGACGAAGGACGGAGAATGTTTGAAGCTGCTCGTCAACTATCAGGCAAACAGAAAACGGGTGCAGGCTCTGTGTCTGTTTTCAACACTGACAACCAGCTGGTAGATAATGAACGAGACAAGGCTGAAATCATTCGCCAGTACTTCGAAGAACACTACACTGGACCTGACAGTGAACCACCACTAGAACCGTTCACAGGTAACCCTAGGCCCCTTCAAAACCCCATTACAGCGTTTGAAGTTGAGCTTGCGGCCAAGAAACTCAAGAACGGTAAAGCTGTTGGACCAGATGGGATCCCAAACGAATTTCTCAAACACTCTCCTGAAATCTTTTTTTTCCACATTTGCACAACTTACTAATCGATCCTTTGAGCTCCATGAACATGTACCTTCTTTCACAGAGGGATACCTTACTCCGCTCCAAAAACCTGGAAAGCCACTAGGCCCCCCTAAGAGTTTGCGCCCACTTTGCCTACTAAACGGTACTAGAAAGATATTGTCCATGATAGTCTTAAAGCGCATCCAAAGGCAAGTATCTCAGTACACTGGTCCTTGGCAGAATGCCTATAAACCTGGCCATAGTTGTGCAAATATCGTTTGGACCCAGCGAATACTAGTGTCAGTTGTCAAGGAAAAACGCTGGTCTCTTCATAAGATGGGCATTGACATGTCCTCTGCTTTTGATACCATAAAGAGGTCGGTATTACTTGACATTTTAGCTGATGCTGGTTGTAGTGAGGACGACATTCGACTGGTAAGGTATTTGCTCGCAAATACTAAACTGAAGATCAAAGTGAACTCAACAATATCGGGAGAGTTTATTGTCACGATTGGAGCTTTTCAAGGCGACAGTTTGTCTGGAAACTTGTTCACTCTATATCTGGCAGCAGCACTTTACCACCTGCGTGCTGTTATGTCCTATCTAAGACCTAACCCTCCCATAGCTGTGAATCTGTTACCCCTCGAGTGGGAGTATGCAGATGATGTTGATTTTACTGATGAGGATAAAAGCAATTTGGAGTCTTTGTTGCCAATATGTAAAGAGATATTGGAAGAGTGGAATCTTTTTGTCAATGAGTCAAAAACCGAGTTCACCCACTTCTATCTGGCCGGCAAGAACGAGGTTGATAACAAAGGAGAGACACTCAGAGGTAGAGAACCTTGGAGGTCATCTATCTCTTTAGGCTCTAAGTTGTGTAGCATCGAAGATGTCAAGAGACGATGTATACTTGCTAACATTGCTTTTCAGAACTACAAAAAAGTCTGGGAACAAGGTAGACGTATACCCTTGAAGATTCGACTCAAGATATATGAAGCACAAGTTGTTTCAATACTGATGTATAATTGCAACAGTTGGGCAACATCTAAACAACTCCTTCAAAAACTTGATGTCTGCCACAGGAATTATCTCCGTACGATCATCGGCATGACCTACCCTAATGTCATACGAAATGTGACTCTATACAAACGCTGCGAAGTTGTTCCACTAAGTGAGCGTGTTGCTCGTGCACGGTGGAGAATACTCGGTCACATCCTCCGCAGTGATAATAACTCACCTGCCCAGCTTGCCTTACATTTTGCTGTAGAGAGTCAGAGTTTGATGAGAGGTAGAGTCGGACGACACCAGTCAAACTTGTTAAAAACTATTTTGAACGATTTAAGTGACAGAAACTTTAGACTTGTAAATACAGACGATTTATACCATTTAAGACTTTTTGCAACAGATAGAAAAGCATGGAGAGAGTTAAGCATGATTTAGTTTATTCTGTGTTATTTTTCTCTTGGTGACTTATCAGGTCATCAAGATGTTCTTTATGTTCTATTTTTGATTTGAATAAAGTTATATAATAAAAAATAGACTTAAGTGTACAGCTCTTCAGGCGATAGTGAAACATATGGAAAACTATAGCTTTTATAAAAGCTCTCTTTCTTCCATAATTTAGTCGAAACTGACTTAGCCCGGAATTCAGGGGAAGCAGCCGAAGGCTTCAAGTCAGTTCATCCCTACTTTCAGTTCAGCCCTACACTAATAGCATACGTTTGTTTAATTCGCTCTCTTATCTGCTTTCTTATCTCGCCTTGTTTAACGGCGAGATATTGCGCCTCTCACCTTAGCCTTACATCATGGCAGCTGTGGACGACACGGAGATTGACAGTATTATGTTTAAAGTTGAGGCTTGGACGGCAAAAGTTATGAATCAGTTCGGTTGTGAAGCACGAGTTGACATGTCCTCTTTGCAAGTATTTTTTGCTTCAAAGGTCATTAAAGGAAACGTTTTGCTGCGTTTCTGATAGAATCAGTTCAGGAAAAACGTCATGGTTTGTCAACCTGAAAGTTCAGTTACCACCGAGACTTTGAAGGAAGTCGTCAAGTTTGTGGTGCAAGCAGAAGACCGGAGCAAGAACATCATAATTATCGGTTTGCCTGAAGATTCCAGTAAAGACTTTAACAGAACTGTAGGAGACATATTTGAGGATATAATTGGACTGAAACCATCAGTGGAGCTCAGTAGAGTTGCCGAGTTGGCAAGTTGAAGGAGAAGACTACTCGGCCAGTTACCCTGTCCAGTTCCAGTACAGCCCATCAGATACTCAGTCAAGCTCGAAAGCTGCGACATTCAGCGAAGTTTAGTTCAGTCTTCATTAGTCCAGACCGCTCATTGGAGGATCGAGTTGAGTATAGACTTCTTGTTCAAAACTTGCAAAAGAAGAAGAACGCTGAGCTGAACAAGCACCATTACATCAAAGAAGGGACAATTTATACTGAAGACAAATCAGTGAGATGAGTGTGACTTTTACTTGAGTGTATTTTTTACAATACATGTCTTGCTATTATATTAGGGACGATAGTGTTTGTATGATGATGGGGACTTGTCCTGTTGTGATATGTTACTTGTTGAGTTATTCTTTCTGGCTGTTGGAGCATACACAACTTTAAGTTTTCGCAATATTTGCTTTGTTAGATGATGTTTAAATTCCGTCGTTAAGTGCTGATCTACACAGTGTGGCATTTTCCTATTAAGAGTGCAGTGCCCTTGTGAGGAATTTTTACTATTATTATTATACATTTGGTAAGATTAAAACTAGTCATTAGAACAATAGAACCGGGCACCATCTCGGTTTACAATCAGTCAAATAATCCAGTGCATTTTTCTCTTTCGTCGTGATTATCGACAAAATTTACCTTCTTTCGGACTTTATTTGAAGAGTGTACACTGTACCCTGCTGTACCCTGCTGTAGAGTGTACCCTGCTATTATTATAATAGGGGTTTACAACTGAGAACTCAAATCTTAAAATCAAAAGATAAATTTAACAGAGTATAATACTACCCGTAGTAGAAAAATCTCGAAAAACCTTCTATTAAAATACGAATTGTACTGCCATTTATTATAATGTGCTACAACACGTCACTATGGTGACAGGCTGTTCTGCCGTGTCATCACGTTATCATTTTCTTACCGTGCGTTACAGTACACTCTACAGCGTGTAAACCTTGTCAAACTTGTCATCCTTTTTAGCAAATATAGATTTAACCATAGCAACTGATGTGTAACCATAATAACTGTACATTAAACCATAACAACGGATGTGTTACCATGATAAACCATAGCATACTATACTACACGATACTATCTTGTCCAGTAAAAGCGATGAAAATTATTCGAGTGTATGGGTTCCGAGATGACAAGAAAGATCTGACAAATAGAGTGTACCCACTACACAGTAACAATGCAGTGGCAGCACATCAGTATTCAGTAACCAAGGTAACACATTAGTAACCAATGTAACGCATTAGTAACCAATGTAACGCATTAGTAACCAATGTAACACATTAGTAACCAATGTAACACATTAGTAACCAATGTAACGCATTAGTAACCAATGTAACACATTAGTAACCTAGGTAACACATTAGTAACCAATGTAACGCATTAGTAACCAATGTAACACATTAGTAACCAAGGTAACACATTAGTAACCAATGTAACGCATTAGTAACCAATGTAACGCATTAGTAACCAATGTAACACATTAGTAACCAATGTAACACATTAGTAACCAATGTAACGCATTAGTAACCAATGTAACGCATTAGTAACCAATGAAACACATCAGTAATCAAGGTAACACATCAGTAACCAAGGTAACACATCAGTAACCGAGGTAACACATTAGTAACCAATGTAACACATTAGTAACCAATGTAACACATTAATAACCGATGAAACACACCAGTAACCAAGGTAACACATCAGTAACCAAGGTAACACATCAGTAACTGAGGTAACACATTAGTAACCAATGTAACACATTAGTAACCAATGTAACACATTAATAACCGATGAAACACATCAGTAACCAAGGTAACACATCAGTAACCAAGGTAACACATCAGTATCTGAGGTAACACATTAGTAACCAATGTAACGCATTAGTAACCAATGTAACGCATTAGTAACCAATGAAACACATCAGTAATCAAGGTAACACATCAGTAACCAAGGTAACACATCAGTAACCGAGGTAACACATTAGTAACCAATGTAACACATTAGTAACCAATGTAACACATTAATAACCGATGAAAAACACCAGTAACCAAGGTAACACATCAGTAACCAAGGTAACACATCAGTAACTGAGGTAACACATCAGTAACCAAGGTAACACATCAGTAACCAAGGTAACACATCAGTATCTGAGGTAACACATTAGTAACCAATGTAACACATTATTAACCAATGTAACCCATTAGCAGTGGTCGACCACAACCCCGGCCCTTCCTAGCCCCGGCCAAAACTTGGCAATTTGCCGGGGGTAAACCCCGGCCCCGGCCAATAAATTTACCCCCGGCCCCGGCCAAAAACCATGCATTTACCGGGGATTTCATGAATGATTTTGGCACATTTTTGAAAAAAACAAACACAATTTAATGGTAATTATGAGATTTCATAGTTGAAACAATTTATTGTCTACGTTGGGTACGTTCAAATATTATAGAAAATACAACATACGGCTTAAATTAGACTTCGGCTAGTAACATAAAAACCGTGGTTCTTCCTCAGTATCAGACTTTTCAATTAATCGTCTCCGAAAAATTTGCGATAAAACATACGTATAGGGACTACGGGTGGAAGATGAATAATTGAAATTCCAACAGCATCTTGTTCCCTTCATTGTGCTGATTCCGGGAAGCATTCTGTTTACGCTCTCGTCATTCTGTAGAATGAGATATCGTTCATTTAAAATTGGGTAATTATAGGCCTGTCTTCTCAACTCTAGATCTTTCCTTCATAAGCCCGCTCATTGGCTGTGAACTAGAGTCTTCGTTATTTACAAAAATTGAGATTATGCAGAGATAGTGGTGCCAGCCGTTACCTGGGGACCCCAGGCTGTAATATTCACAAACAGTGAAGCTGAGGCGGAATGAAAAGCTGGGATGAGTGCGGCCCAGGAATACCAGCCGTTAAGCCGCTTAGCTTATTGTACAAATTATATTACAATTGATAGCATCATTCAAATTTCAAGTACGTTTTAAAGCAATTTACACGAAAGTATGATAATTATAACCAGTTTAATCTTGTTCAGCGTCATCGAAAATGTAGGGTTACAAGGTTTTCCCTTCGATTTTCATCCATAACAAGAATTGCGCCGGTTAGCGGACGCTAGATTTCCATCAACCGTAGTGATTGTCATGCCTTTTAAAATTTAAAATTTAAATTAACGATAGTTTCATGTTGGTCAAAATATTAAATAATGGTTCTTTATTCACCATTCTTGGGGCGCTACGGAACACAAAATGGAGGGGTTGCCATTGTCAATTAGTCAAATTTAAAAAGTTAAATGACCGGACACCGTAGCGCCTGCGCCTGTGTGGTGATATGCAGTTAAAAGTCGTGAAATCCGTAGTAGGTAATACTAATGCAACTCATAATAACATTTATGGTCCATTTCGTATAACAAATCAAGCACTCACAACAAAACGAGAAGTTAGTATGTTGTACCGCATCATGATCAATGATCAAATAAAGAAAAGCGTGAGCTACTTAACACATGTCACATGTAATGTATAAAATCCGGGAAATCGCGTGTTATCTAAATCAATTGGCGCCGCGCGCAATCGGAAGTGTAATTCGATCAATCGTCAAATCGTGCAAACGTATGCGGAGGGTAACCATGGCGACTACGCAGAGAATATGCATTAAAATAACGTATGCGGAGGGTTATGCATGTTTTGCTTTGTGACACCGTACGAAAAACTTAGCTACCTACTATACCCATTCTCAATTCCTTCTGCACTTCTATACATCTTATGCCTTTTTAAAGAAAAAGACAGTTGATGTAAAAAATCCTTCTATTATCGATTCTCTGGGCCAGCTGTCTGCTGGGTTTCAGAAGGTGGTACCAGATGCTGCTATAATTGAGCGTTTAGCTGCTCTAATTGGGTCCAATTACATACGAAACACTGTATTATTCCATATAAAAATATAAGGCCTGATCAAGTAACTTGAGCTCTGGTGACGTCACCAAATATCCTATTCGGCATACGACACGTTACGAATGTGATCACGTGCTCGAGGATTTACGAAGTAAGGTCACGTGATAGGACCGACTGTCACGTGACCTCAGTTATCCCTTATATGGCACAAGGAGCTGCAATTGATCAGCTCTTAATTGGGCTGCAATCCTTGACAGGCCTATAATTACCCAATTTTAAATGAACGATATCTCATTCTACAGAATGATGAGAGCGTAAACAGAATGCTTCCCGGAATCAGCACAATGAAGGGAAAAAGATGCTGTTGGAATTTCAATTATTCATCTTCCACCCGTAGTCCCTACATACGTAGAAAAAAAAAGTAAAAATACTGCACTGCAGCTAAAACTACGGCTCAACGTAAACTACAGAGCCTTACATTAAAACCATGGTAAAAAGTAAAAAATGTTTCGTATTTCTGCAGTAGTCTAAATAGTTCTCACGAGCTAGTTAGTATATAAACTGCTATCTGTAAACAACCGGACTACTAACTATAAACAACAGAGAGGCGTGTCACAAGGAGCGCGCAGTGCCCACGCGCACGTGCAGTGTGCAAACATGAAAGAAAGTCTTGAACTTAACCATTTATGGTAAATTTTTGTGAACCGGGCCATATTTGGATGTGGGATTACTTTTAAATCCCGAGGTCCAGATAAAGTAGCAGCTGAGGGTTATCCTCAGTTCTGAGTTGAGGATTAGAAATTAAGTATGACCTGAGGATTATCCTGAGTTGGTTCGCAGCACGAAGTTGCGGTTTAATCCTCAAGTCTTCATGTCGGTGAGAATAAGCGACACCTCAAGTTGAATCCTTCCCGATTGCATCACACCAGCCTTAATTATTATCAAATTCATGTTTCAATTTCTGACTACAGTTTGGTAAACTACCCCTGGCCTCAGCCCCGGAAAAATGGAAGATTTCCCCGGCCCCGGTCAGAATCCTGCCCCCGGTCGACCACTGCCCATTAGTAATCAAGGTAACACATTAGTAACCAAGGTAACACATCAGTAACCAAGGTAACACATCAGTAACCAAGGTAACACATTAGTAACCAATGTAACACATCAGTAACCAAGGTAACACATCAGTAACCAAGGTAACACATCAGTAACCAATGTAACACATTAGTAACCGAGGTAACACATCCGTAACTAAGGTAACACATTAGTAACCAAGGTAACACATTAGTAACCGAGGTAACACATCAGTTACTAATGGCAAAACTTTTATTTCAGAATGACACCTGCTATCGAACCATTTTACGCATCGATGGCCCTCTACGACGCCAAACTAAAGAAAAAGGTAATTTTCAGACTTTCCATCCACCACTTTAAAAAAGGGGGATTTTAAAGATCAGGGTAGGTGTGTTTAAATATGTCTTCTGTCTATAAGTGTGTCACACTTTGCCATGACGACGGGAACGCAGGCTTGTTCCTTCAAAATCTGAGTTTGGCAGAATTGTATTTCATTAGTCAGTGCACGGCATAATATAAGGTAAACACTAAACAGTCAAATGTTTTGGGAGGGAGGGAGGGAGGGAGGGAGGGAGGGAGGGAGGGAGGGAGGGAGGGAGGGAGGGAGGGAGGGAGGGAGGGAGGGAGGGAGGCAGGCAGGCAGGCAGGCAGGCAGGCAGGCAGGCAGGCAGGCAGGCAGGCAGGCAGGCAGGCAGGCAGGCAGGCAGGCAGGCAGGCAGGGAGGGAGGGAGGGAGGGAGGGAGGGAGGGAGGGAGGGAGGGAGGGAGGGAGGGAGGGAGAGGCCAACCTATTGTAGAACACTGCACTGTACAGTGTACATCTAACAATTTAAATATTTGTGGTTACAACGCCGTTAACCACAGCTTCAGGTGCCGTCATTTTCACATCCTTATCGTGTCAGGTATCAGAGACGTTGTATTTTGACTTAAACTCGAACGAAATGCTCAAGAAAGCAGGTCACCGCCTGAACTTCGAAGTAAGTTCGTTATATAATATACAGTATATGCGTCTCATTTTGTAGCACCCCTACACCCCTACTGTAGTGAAGTTTAGATTTAAAACTTGTCCGCTCCCGTTTAACATGAAAAAGTCAGAATCTAGAAAACTACAATGCAAATTAGCAACCATGAGAACATTTTTAAAATTTCAGAACGAAACAAGGGGCTCTTCAGCAATATTCTCTATTACAGAGCCGACCAGCGACATGTTCGTCGTCATCAGGGTAAGTAAAATTTCCCACCTATTGGTTCGTTATATACAGTATATGGTATCCAATGGTAAAAAATGGTGGAAAATGGGGAAATTTTACAATTTGAAAACCCGATTCACCATAAAAATCATTCACAGTTTTTCACCATTTTTCACCATTTAAGTTTTTTATTTTCAAACTATCAAATCAAAATATGAAATGTGTACCAAGAGCTCAGTTTTGATGAACCCTACACGCCAGTTTTGATGTTACTTACTCGCTAATTTCACAACAAAGTTACCAGTTTTGATGTTTTTTTTGGTTTTTTAAAAAGAATAAACGATAAAGGTTACATCATAATTTTAACTCTCATTTTCACTTATATCGAATAAAATTATATTGTTATGTATCATATGATTTTGTAAATATTGCATTGGCCGGTGTACCAAAAACCGGTCCCCAAAAAAAACTGTATACACTGTTTACACAGTTACACTGTATACAGTATATACAGTATATACACTGTATACATTGTATACAATGTATATTATACACTGTATACAGTATATATACAAATTACAATATATACACTGTATTCAGTTTATACACAGTGTATACTATGTATACACTGAATACAGTGTATATATACACTGTATTTTGTTGAAATGCGCTTAATGTGATTATATTTTGCCTATACAATTGCTACTTCCTCCACTGTATACTGTCAAATACCGACTATAACTGTGTATTCTGGTTGTAAATTAATTAAGTTTTGCTCTATTAAGTATTAATCATAATCAAGACATACGGTTATCTAGTCCGTGTTGTTTTACATCCAGTATTAGCAGCATTATCCTTGTATTTTAAATATTTAAAATGTTTGATTTTTATTAATTGATAATCGGGTTGAACTTTATGCAATTGATATTTGATCAGTAGATGTACTAAAATGGAAACTAGTGTACATTTTCCACAACGTTGAAGACCAACGACACAACATGAACTTCTATGATTTCGCAAAATAATCGAACTGTTCGTAGGACGCGGGCTCCTGGCCTTCTTGTATTTTTGCGCAAATCTCACGCGCGCAACGGGTGAAGCTGAGGCATCGCGCGCTAAATGTATTGTCCCATTATAGGTTTGATATTATTTTGAAGTACATTCTGTTCCCTCTACCAATCTTCTGGATTGTGGTTGAAATTTGAATGAATAAATCGTCCGACTAATCTGCGAGATGTGCAATATCCTTGCCGAAAGAACGCTTGGGGGTGATGGGGCTGCATCCATGACGTGAGCATCACAGATCACTATTATTGTTATTTTTATTCCATAAATTTCCAAGTAGAATGAACTGTTCAGAACTTTTTGTTTTCAATTTGAGGATTTTAGGAATTAATCAATATAATTAGCGTTAGGAGGGGGGGGGGGTGTTCACCCTGATTTTCTTGTGAAATTTGATTTCGAAATAGCAATTAATAAAACAAATATTCAATAAAACAAATATTTATTTTTACGGCACAATCAAACAATATCAATAATAAATAAATCAGGGGAGGTTTGAAGCGGTTTCAAGTGCCGAAGGCCACTGCTTACCTTTAGGATTTGAGAGTGACCTGTGCTTGAAACCCCCTCAACCATCCACTACGTCAATATACTTATTATACAATTAATAAAGAAAAATATAATAATCTAAAATTACTTATTGGTTTAGTTAGGTGACACAGGAGAGCCCAGTTGAGATTTAGTTTAGGTTTAGGTTTTAAATCATAGTTTAAAAGGTTAGCCATGTTTCATGGCAGAGAGATATCATGTGTGCAGATTGACCATCAAACTAGAGCCTGTGACCAAACGTTTGAGAGGGTCCCGGACTCCGGGGTCCGCGGGACAGCCACCCCCATATTTAGTCCCAATAATGCCAAATCATCTTAACATGATCAAAACCTAGATTTTATGTGCTCTACTTGTAGCTAGTGGCAGTGGCGTAACGAAGGGCCCCGCTGTGCGGAAGGGGGGGGGGGGGGGCCGGGGGCGCAAAATGTCATTTGAATGTGGGATAATTTTGAAAAACTTAACTGAGGTACAAGCAAAACTGTGCGTTTTGCTCTAGAAGCACAATTTTTTAGAAATTTTACTTGCGTATCCTCTAGAATCACCTAATTTGTTCAGTTTTAGGGAGGGGCGTTAAAAGGGGAGGGGGTGCCAACAGGCAACGTTACGCCACTGGCTATTGGTCCCTTGAACTCGTATACGAATTTTCATCAAGATTGGACAAAAAAAATGACTCAGTTATGAGCCAAGAACCATATGCCCATATTAGGGCATACGCACCAAATATGGTAAATTTCGTCCCATAAATTGGTCAAATATCAATATTTTTGAATGAAACTTTCTTTATATGAAAGGTAAGCCTAAACTACATATTTTCTGTAAGTTATAGCTTTATATCTGTTTAAATGTGGATACTAAGGCGAAAAGACCACAAAAAATGAACAAAATTGCCCATATCTTGGTTCGCGATATTCGCGGAATTGATCTCATCAAAATTGTAACTACTAAATCAGTTTTCAAAATTTTTAGCTCATAAATGAGCTAAAAACCATATGCCCATATTTGGGCATACACACCAAATTTGATCGATTTTGGACCATAAATTGGTCAAATATCAATATGTTTAAATGAAAATAACTTAATGTAAAAGGCAAGCCTAAACTACACATTCTGTATGATTATCAGTTCAATATCTACCTAACTGTGGATTTTGTGTTCAAATCGCTCATATCTCAATATGGTTTCAATATTTTTTAATGAAATTTGGCGGCCAAATTCTGAAAAATGCCTGGCAAATTTCAGAATTTGGCCACCAAATTTTTTAAAGGCCTAACTCAAAATTCCACTACAAAACTTATGGTCGAAATGCGATTCTACGTTGATTCTGAAAATTTCATAAACAAATATAGGCGTAGCTGTCCCGCGGGCACCGGTGGGCACCCGGAGTCCGGAACCCCCTCAAAAGTTCGGTCACAAGCCGTAGTTTGTTTGTCAATTGCTATCTCGAAATCTAATTTCACAAGAAAATCAGGATGAACCTGGCTTTTACCCGCTTAAACACGGCCAGGTAGCGCAGTTGGTTAGAACGCCTGTCTTACAATCGTTAGGTTGCGAGTTCGAAACCCACTGACTGCCTGGTCGTGGGGTGAGCGTCGTCGACGTTCAGCTAACAACATACTTGTACACGTTGATTTGGTTTGATTTTAATGCGCGTTGATTCGAAAAAGCCACGTCAGCAACAATATTTTCAACAATCGCCCTGGCGGCCATGCTGGCCAGCCAGGGCACAGTCCCGATCGCTCCTGATCCACCCCTTGGTCTAACTTATGGTCTAACTTATGGTCCTGGCACAGTCCCGACTGCTACCGCTCCTGTACTTAGTCTAACGTACGATCCTGGCAGCAACATCTCAGATGGCGGAATAGATTGGAACTGCAACACTAAACAGAACAGAAACTCAACAAACATCGAACAGACACCGAACACTATATACTACTCTAGAAATGGTTTGGACACTTTAAATGATTGCTGTAATGGCCCTTATCAGTCGTACAAAGAGATAAGGACAACTATTTGTAAAAGTACATTACACGCAATAGAACACATTAGAATTGTAATTGTACATTGCACAAGACTTTTCGAGCTAATATTCCTGGAGTTATTGCAGTCCTGCTTTAAAGCATTGATGAATATTGTAGGAACGTGCATGTATTATTTTGATGTATGGGGTAGACAAGGACATGACTTTATAGTGTGGTTTTGGAATGTGAGTTATAGTTTCGAGCGTTTAAACAGCAATTTGATTTATAACATATGCAGCAGATATATCTCTAATGTTATGAATGAACTTAATGACGGTTTTATGACGAGTATGTTACGGTCCTCTTGCTCAGCCATGTCACTGCTGCATGCCTCTTCTAGGTTTCGTTCCGCGCCCGCTGGTCTTTCCCAGCCAGAGCCCACCAGTAGAGCTCCGCCTCCTCGCGCCTTGTCTCCGCATGCGTCGCGAACCGCGTCTCAACTGAGTGTACTTGTCTTTCAGCATAGCAACTCCCCCACATACACTCCTCACAATCCCACTCACAGTGCACAGTGTGACAGATTAGGTAGTGACCGGTCTTTGCGAGCTGGGGACTGGTTTCAGATAGCTGTAGTTGTCCTTCTGAGCCTCTGCTTCCTTGTTGCGACGCTCATAGCCTTTACTTTGCTGCTTTTACTTAGGGAACTCAGAAGCAGACCACTGGCCCCTACCGTTCCTGTTTACGTCAGTGAAGAAGTAGAAAACCAATGTCTTAGTTCTAGTAAAACCTCGTGTAAACAGATCTCTCAACCCGGTTGTTTTTCCAACTCAATTTTTGATTTCTCTGCTTTGAAACTTGGTAGTTTGTTTCCACCACCTTGGCTGACTAATGCAACAGTGATGATGGCGAACGGCTCTGGGAAAACAGACGAGGCTAAAGAATCAAGTGAAACAGAGGATAACGACACTGATATTACTGAAGTAAGTGCCACTGAAGGTCTCCTGAAGCCGACCAACAATGTGCTATCATCTTGCCAGGAAACTCCCGCCAAGAAGCTCAACAGACGTCTAAGTAACGTGAGCTGGGGTAACACTGAAACAAGTGATGATGCTGGATCTGAGTCAAGTCTTTCAGGTTCACAGACAAAGAGTGATACAAACAGGCGGAGCACAGTGTGGATCAGAGATGACGGTGAGATATTTCTTGACAAAGGGAAGTCCTGCAAGCTTGGTTACATAAGCGACTACATCAGTACTGAGAGCAATGCTAACCTTTGTGCAGAACTCACTGCTACTGTTGGGAAACTCTGCACACCAAGCAACAAAGATAGGTACAAAATCGTCCTCAAACATGGTGTGGAGACCAAACTGACAGATGTTGATCTAAAAAAGGGGGCAAAGAAGCTTAAGAAGACCGCAACCCCTAAAATGTCTGAACTATCCGTAAACCTGGACGAACCGTCTG